CATATAACTGATTGATCGGAAATGGTATAACTTTGGTGTTTTTAGAGTTAGAGAGTTCAAATTTGACAAGAGAGCTATTTTTGGCAAACCATTACGACATGCCAAATTTCATAAGGATCGGCCGACTATATCTTATAGCTGCCATATAACTGAACGATCGGAAATGACCCAACTTTCGTGTTTTTGAAGATAGGAAGCTGAAACTTAATACAGATTATATCTTTGGCCAGATGATCCAACCTACCAAATTTCATTAGGATCGGCCGACTATATCCTATAGCTGCCATATAACTGAACGATCGGAAATGACCCAACTTTTGTGTTTTTGAAGATAGAAGTTTGGGACATTTTTAGGTTTGGTTTTTGTATTATAATAAATTGGGTAATATTATCATATTCTCATAAGGATCGGCCAACTATATCCGATGTTTGCGATATATATCCGGTTTTAACTGCAAGGGTATATAAACTTCGGCTCCGCCCGAAGTTAGCTTTCCTTTCTTGTTTTTGTATTAATTTGGTTTTTGAAAGTCAAGTTCAGCTTGTAACTTTTGCCTTTTTGACAACGCTGGAAGTGATTTGGTGGAGGTATATGCACATATAAGAAGTCCGCTCGTATTACATTTTTTTACAAGAGCTGAATATGCAGTTGCGGCGTGCGGCTAAGGCACAGCTAGCGTTTGGCATTTAGGCCACTTAGGTTTATGACCGACACCTCGAATTATGTAAACATTGCGGCGAAGTGTTATAGTGTGTGCCCCTTTTAGTACTCTTTGTACAGTGGGTGCTCGATATATATTTATATATGTGTGCATATTACATACGGAAAGAGCATCTCTGGGCTATCGGGTGGGAATCGGTGTCGCACGCGGTTGCCGGCCATGTATCGTCAGTTAATGGATGGGTCCTGCAAAGCTCCTGTCTCTCTCCCTGATTCTCGCCTCGGTGATCATAAATTGTATCGATAATAAAGTGTGGACGACCTCACGGATAGCAAAGGTCAAACAACGTCCCATCTGAATGGGTGGCATGGTGCTCGGGGGCAAGGGGGTGGCGAATCAAAAGAGTCAAAAAATCTCTTTTCTACTTCATTATAGAACCAATATTTAATTTCATTAATTGGTTTCTTATATGTCTAATGATCCCCCATTCCCAATCTCTTACTTCCACTAATAATCAAAGATTTACTCATATTCTACTTATCTACAATTTAATTCCCATAGTTACCCAAAAAAATGTACCCTTAATTCTATTAGGCTCTTAATGCTTATTTAAACTAAATCGGGCTCAAAAAGGATATTGGGTCGACCCCAACTAATACTCTTCCCCCAACCCCAACCCCCAAAACTCTCCCTGCATGCTACCTAGCAACGTTCACCAGAGTCATGAAATTGTAGTTTTAGATGATATTTTTAGTCTGGGCCTCTCCCAAGTAAATAATATTTTTAATGATTTGTCCAAAATTCTTGATCTTATATTTTTAAATAATTTGGTTAATAGAAAAGTAGAATTATGCAATGTACCATTAAGTCCTTGTGATATGCACCACAAGCCGTTGGTAATTAATATTGAGTTTTATAGTTTTTTGCCTTCTGCTTCCCCCATTCCATATTATCATCTGAATGACACTAAATTGTCACTTATTAACGCCTCTATTTCAGCCTTTGATTGGGTTTCCCTTTTTTCGGATGGCTCAATCGATGATTGTTATACTAAGTTCTTGGTTGCCCTTATGGATACTTATTATGGATACTTATGCCCCTGTGAGGGTACGAAGATCCTATAGGCTTCCCTGGTATACAAAAGGTTTAAAAACTTAAAGAAAAGAAGGGATAAGCACTACAAACGATTTATGTTGACAGGTGAGACTCGAGCAGGAGAGCTGTACCGGCAATTTAAGCGGGAATTTGATTTCCTTAAAAAGTTCCTCTACAATCAGTATATATCCGATGTCGAAGCTAGCCTTCGGTCCAAACCTAAAGCTTTTTGGCGGCTTGTTAACAGCAAAAAGTCAAAATCGGACATACCTTCATCCATATGTTATGGTAACTTAGCAGCCGACTCGGATCAGGGCGTTTCTGATCTTTTTGCAAAATACTTTGCCTCTAACTTGGAGCCGAAGGTTCCTTGGAGTGATCATGAAACTCTTCTTAGCATTGAGCCTTTTCTTAATGTGAGTAACATGGACGTTTTGGACGGTGACCTAGTTGAAGCCACTGGACATTTGACCGAGTCGCTCACACCTGACGTGGACGGTATCTCCCCATTCTTTCTTAAGAGAAGTATCGCTTCTCTTTCTCTTTCTACTCCCCTCTTTCTACTCCCCTTCAACTGCTGTTCTCCTTTTCGCTCTCTTCTGGTAGATTCCCCCACCGGTGGAAGATTACTTCTATAACGCCTATTCACAAAGGTGGCAGTAGGTGTGATGTTACCAACTATCGACCTATAGCCAAAATTTGCAACGTCGCTAAGATACTGGAGCGGATAGTAACTAAAAATAGACTTTTCTGGCTCGCAATTTTATATCCCCCAACCAGCATGGTTTTTTACCTGGGAGGTCCACTACCACTAATTTAGCGGTCTTCTCTAAGCACTGCTTTGAAGCTTTTGAAAACCGATTTCAGGTTGATGCCATTTACACCGACTTCTCCAAAGCCTTCGACAAAGTCTGTCATGCTGCCCTTCTGGCGAAATTATATAAGTTAGGTATTCATTCCTGCCTATTAAGTTGGTTCGAGTCTTATCTGGCTGACCGACCTTGCCACATTACTATTGGAGACGCTATCTCAAGTCCATTTGTCACCTCCTCTGGTCTTCCACAAGGCAGCTCTCTTGGACCTCTTCTATTTATCATTTTCATTAATGACATCTCGTCATGCTTTCGTCATTCGTACTTTTTAATGTATGCGGATGACCTTAAAATCTACAAAGCGATTAGCTGCATTAGTGATAGTTACTTGTTACAGGAGGATATATCCAGAGTTTACTCATGGTGCTCCCGCAATCTTCTTCCATTAAACTTATCTAAGTGTATGTTTACCCGTTTCAGTAGGCGGTCTCTTGAAATCTGTACGGGTTATTCCATCAATAATTATAATTTGGCAGCTAAAGAAGAGGTGTTAAACCTTGGTGTCTTATTCGACAGCAAATTTAAATTTTCGGGTCACTAAAAATATATTCTGCCTAAAGCGTATGCTATGCTGGGCTTTGTTAAAAGGCACGTGAACCAATTCAAAAGTCCATACTCGAGCCTCAGCGTCTATGCTGCATTTATTCGGTCGAGGCTGGAATATGCCTCAATCATTTGGAATCCGGATTGTAAAGTTCGGTCCAATAGAATGGAGCGACTCCAGAACAAATTATTAAAATTTGCTCTTCTGCCTCTAAGGTTTCAGGATCCTGTTCCTTCATACCAGAGCCGTTGCCTTCTTCTGAACATTTGCACGTTGAAGGATCGGCGTAAACTGGCAGCTTTAACTTTTTTAAACAATGCAGTCGTTGATATCATTGATTGTCCTTTTTATTGGGGCTCATTAATTTTAGTGTTCCTCAAAGGGATCTTCGTACCTTTGCCACCTTTTGGGTCATGTGTCATAGGGCCAATTATTTTTTAAATGAGCCGATTGAGCGGGCTCTTTCCTGTTTTAATTCTTTGCCGCCTAGCCTCCGAATTGAGTGGGGCTCTGATAAGGGTGTGTTAAAACGCAAGTTAATGAGGCATTTATTAAGTTTTTGTTAATTTTGTAGTTTTATTTATTAGGTGTAAGTTGTTATTATGTAGCCATGTAAGGATTTGTCCGTTGGCGAAATAAATAAATAAATAAATGCACTTCAGCTGAGCCATCCAAAAAAAAAAAAAAAAAAAAACAAGAAAGCAAAGCTAACTTCGGGCGGAGCCGAAGTTTATATACCCTTGCAGCTATAACCGGATATATATCGCAAACATCGGATATAGTTGGCCGATCCTTATGATTACATCATAATAAAACCAATTAATTACAAAAAAAAATCTAAAAAAAAGTCCCAAGCTTCTATCTTCAAAAATTCGAAAGTTGATATTTCTACCAAATACCATTTCCGATCGTTCAGTTATATGTCAGCTATAAGATATAGTCAACCGATCGTTATGAGATTTGGTAGATCCAAGTGCCAGCTTTCTATCTTGAAAAACACGAAAGTTGGGTCATTTCCGATCGTTCAGTTATATGGCAGCTACAAGATATAGTCGGCCGATCCTTATGAAATTTGGCATGTCGTATTATTTTGCCAAAAATAGCTCTCACGTCAAATTTAAACTCTCTAACTCTAAAAACACCAAAGTTATACCATTTCCGATCAATCAGTTATATGGCAGCTATAGGATATAGTCGGCCGATCCCGGCCGTTCCGACTTATATACTGCGTGCAAAGAAAAGAAGGGTGTGTGCAAAGTTTCAAGACGATAGCTTTAAAACTGAGAGACTAGTTTGCGTAGAAACAGACAGACGGACAGACGGACATGCTCATATCAACTCAGGAGGTGATCCTGATCAAGAATATATATACTTTATAGGGTCGGAGATGTCTCCTTCACTGCGTTGCACACTTTTGGACAAAATTATAATACCCTCTGCAAGGGTATAAAGAACCAATAAAAATTGGTCAATATGTTAACAAAATCCAAAACGAAAATTGTAATCAGATGTAAAGGAAAACTTTTTGTAAAAATTTCAAAATGCAAAAATTATAATGAATTAACAATTTGTAAACATAGATGTAAATTGTGTAGCTGAAAAGTTGCTTTTGTCTGCCACCGGTTCTTGATACCAGTAACAATTTCGTTGCCGCAATCTGTACTTGAAACAAATTGAGCTCGGAGAAGTGAATACCACGAGTTTTCGTTGAGTACTGATTTTATTGTGGAATATGCAGGGTTTTTATATACAAGATCTTAAGAACTAATGTTTGTTTAGGTCAAATTATTATCTGCTTATAGTTTACTAGTTTGGACAGTTTAGGTTTATGACGCATGCAGGTCCTTATCATGCGTGCTGACAGATGGTGTGAGGTCGTAAATGCGCAGCGGTACCTGTTTGTATAGGATCATCTGTTGCCTATCTGCAATGCACGATTTTCTGCATGTCTTGAACTCGTACATCCTCCCGGCCGTTGAACGTAGTTTCAACAATCATCGATGTTAATGGTGAACGGCGGACTCGAAGTCGTATCGGTTTCCTCATTGCCACCGCTGGTACCTGGACTTGCTGAGGTCTCTTGTCTCCTTTGTACCATTTTCTTACCCAGTGAATGGTCAATATTATTATGATGAATGTTAAGCCAATGTACATTGCGATGTGGTGATGCTTGATCGTCTCAAGTCTATGTGGTAGTCTCAGTCTTCGGTTTGGTACAAGATCCCGTTGAAGATCCAGTAGTTTGGTATAACCAAATTTATTTGTTTTGCTGGATGTGGTGTTCTGTCTTTTAATCGTTGTATTGTTACCATCGATTTCTCCAAAACGGGCGTATGAGATGAGCGTCGATGTTTCTATACCAGTTTGACTGATTACTGTTATTAAAGAGTTGCGTATGGTGCATCCTGCTCTTGCTGTCAGTAGTCCCGTGTTGCGTAACCAGATATCTGATGTTCCATCGGTGCAAACAGCTGAGAGTTTTATTGGCGTCCTTGTCGCAAATATCCATTGATTCTTTTTATGCATCTCTTGCCAAATGAACGTTTTATTTGTGATTTCCAGATGGCATGACGTGTCTGTTTTATTGTGGAATAGTTGCATTTCGCAGCTCATTTCTGTAGAGAACATTGATTGCTTGCTGTGACAAATGAAATCATTTATCGATTTTGGATAACAATTTGCTATGTCTTCCGTCGTCATATCAACAAACTTATCTCGATAGTTGTTAATTGCAATGAATGGTGTTTTAATTTTGAACAGATGAAAACCATATACATTTGCAGCTGGAATCGGTGTTAATTTGTATATGTGTAATACCTCTGTCGATATCAATGGTACTGTTATTTTTATAATCACATGATTATCTACTATGGTACCTTCGGCTTGCATCATTTTGTATGCCATGAGTATGTTTTCTTGGCTAACAGGTAACATTTGATCAGGCTTCAAATGGTCCCGTATTTGATCACATTGCTCCTTTAGTTGTCGTGGTGATAATAGAAGTGGACTAATAGTGTTGTGGCGCACGTCTGTTAACACTTTGATGATTTCATTCTGCATTCGATGTAGATTCGTAGCGAGCAACGTAAGTTGTGATGTCAGTGTAATGTACCAGTGATAATTATCCTTTATTATTGCATTCATTTGACTTTCAATTAGGTTGAATCGTTTTGCGTATGCAATTTCATCTCGTTTCACTACGTTTATTGTTGAATCAACTAAGGACGTTTGGTTTTGTAATAACTCCAAGACATGATCTTCATTGTCCTGGACCTTCGATATTGTTTTCGACATGTCTTGTGCATATTGAGAATCTAATACACCAAATAGACTGCTTGCAATGTTTCCCACGATGTCCAATGGTGCTCGAACTTTCCGTGATTTGGCCAATAGCATATTTTCCATGATGAGTTCATTCTCTACTTGTTGGAAGTATTGGTACATTCCTTCACATGAGTGTGCATCATTAAGTGTAGCGCACATTTGACCAAGTTTTTTGTTCCTTTTGAAAATGTAGCCATGTCACTCCAATATGGTTTGAGATCGAAGTAAGCCACTATGGTCCAGTCAGCCACTGCTAATTGGGTTGTCCCAATTTTCTCGAAAAATATTCCTGGTTTTGATCCAAACTGAGTTATTTGAATCGATTGGGCCCAGGCTAATGGTAATAATAAAAACATGACAATCATGACAGTGGTTATCGAAGCGTGATTTGGTCTTTTCCTCAGCTGGCGGTCTTCCACTGCTCTGTTTTCTTCTTCTACTTCATCTTCTTCAATTGGATGTTTGTCAGTGGGTTCTTCTTCATTAAAGAGTGGAGCAACATGTTGAATTTCACGTTTAAAGATCCCTTTGGTCGTTTTAACTTCAACCACTCGTGCAATGTTGTCCTTCCCGTAGAAGACTCGAACAATTCTTCCCATTGGCCATTGTAATACAGGAACATTGTCTTCCTTCATTATTACTAAAGTGCCTTCCTTTATGTTTGTTGAGGATCTTCTCCATTTTTGACGTTGCTGCAACTGTTGTAGATAATCCTGTGACCATTGTTTCCAGAACGCATGTTTCAGTTTTGAAACGGCCTGCCATCGATTACCTAACGTTTTTGGTTGCTGCGATGGTTCACAATCAGCTTGTGCAGTTAGCGGCTCTCCAATTAGGAAGTGTCCAGGCGTTAATGCTGTGACGTCATTTGGGTCATCGGACAGTGGTGTTAATGGTCGAGAGTTCAATATGGCCTCTATTTCGACTATAACTGTTTCAAGTTCTTCATAAGTAAGATCGGCTGTCGTCACATTTTTTAGTAATAAATGTTTTGCCGACTTTACTGCAGCTTCCCATAATCCTCCGAAGTGTGGTGCACGAGGTGGGATGAATTTAAACTGAACTCCCTTGTTGTTACACTCCTGGAGAATTTGTGTTTTCGCATTATCGGAGAATATAGCCTCCTGTAGCTCTTGCAACTTGTTTTTGGCTCCCACAAAATTTGTTGCATTGTCGCAGTGAAGAGTTTGGCATTTCCCTCGCCGAGCAATGAAACGACGAAGTGCTGCCAAGAATGCCTCTGTTGTGAGATCGCTAACCAGCTCCAGATGTACAGCTTTAGTCGTAAAACAGCAGAATATAGCAATGTAAGCTGTGCTAGGCTTCTTTCCTCTCACTTTGTAGTGAATTTTAAATGGTCCACAATAATCGACGCCAGAGTTGAAAAATGGTCGAGCTTGCGTTACCCTCAGTGGTGGCAGATTTCCCATGATCTGCTCCATTAATTTTGGTTTAGCTTTAGTGCACTTGACACAGGCTCTTACAGTGCTCCTAGCCATCGTTTTTCCTTTAAGGATCCAGAATTGCTGCCTTGATGCAGTCAATAAAGCTTGAGGTCCGCAATGCATGTTGTCCTTGTGTATTTGCACAAGAATCATCTTCCCAACAGAGTCGTTGTATGGCAAAAGTATCGGATGTTTGGAGTCGAATGATATATTTGCCGCCTCCAGTCGACCTCCTACACGCAAAATTCCATTCTGATCTAAGAATGGTGATAGTGAGTTGATTGAACTGCCTTTTAGTGTCTCCCTTTGCCGCTTGAGATGTTTGATGTCATCTTTGAAGTCGATTTTTGAATATTGCGGAAGACAATTTTTCGGGCTGCCATTATTTCTTCAAACTCAATGGTGTGGCTTGTGTACTTCTTCTTACGTCGAAAGCGCATTATGTAAGCTATTATTCTGAGTAGCTTGTTAAATGAATTATTATGTTGTATTGTGTATATTATGTCCTCCTCTTTTATGATAGTCATCACGGATGATTGACTAACCTTTGGCGGATTCATAATTATTAGTTCCTCGTTGGTAGCAATAAACGGAGCGGGCCATGTGGATGATGAACCATGTAGGAACATAGGGCCGTAGAACCACATGGCATGTTCCGCGAATTTTGAAGCTGTCATTCCTCTGGAGAGGACATCTGCGGCATTGTGTTCTGATGCAACATGTCTCCACTGTTTGGGTAAGGATAGCTCATGTATTGTTGCAACTCTGGTGGCAACGAATTTGTCTCGAATGGATGTTGAGCAATTAATCCATGACAGTACAATCCGTGAATCAGACCAATAAAATGTGGATGCATTTTTCATGGCCAAGTCTTTCTTTACTTTAGAAGTCAACTGTGCTCCTAATACAGCAGCCTTAAGTTCCAGACGTGGTAACGTTATTGTATTTATTGGTGCTAAGTGAGATTTTGCACACAATAACTGGATCGTTCTTCGCTTGTCCTTATATGTTGCTCGGATGTATACAGCAGCTCCATATGCCTTCTCCGAGGCATCAACAAATGTGTGGATTTCTGCCGTCACAGGTGTTTTTCCTAAGTAGACGTGACGTGGTACCTTTATGGTGTTCAGAACCTTTAGCTCCTCCCTGTAGCGTTTCCATTCCTCCTGAAGATGAGCCGGCAGATCGTCTTTATATTCATAACCCTCCTTTGTGAGGTGTTGCATGAAAATTTTTGCTTTCATTACAACTGGGGAAAATAAACCAAGAGGATCAAATATCCTAAAGATTTCAGACACAACATCTCGTCTTGATATGTTGGCCTTTGTTGCTATCTCCGTTTTCCCACAAAGGTGATCTGTCGTTGGTGTCCAGGTGATTCCGAGGGTCTTAATCGTGTAGTCCTCATATGAAGTCTCCTCCAGTTGTACATTTGAAGTGATGTCTTCCCTCGGAACTCCTTGTAGAACTTGGAAATTGTTGGTACACCATTTTCTTAACTTGAATCCAGAATTTTGCAGAAGTTTGTTAAGCTGTTGTTGCCTCTGTAGAGCTTCTGGTATAGTTTCGGCTCCGGTTAAGCAATCGTCTACATAGAAGTCGTTTTCCAATGCGGCAGCACCATTAGGGTATTCCTTTCTGCCTTTTTGTGCTATGTGCTGCAAGCATTTTGTGGCTAAATACGGTGCAGCTTTTGTTCCATAGGTAACCGTTTTTAATCTGTAGTATCGCAAATCCTCAGATGGATTATTGCGCCAAACAATTGTTTGGAAATATTGGTCTTCGGGATTTATCCAGATTTGACGGTACATTTTCTCTATGTCCGCCGTGAAAACATATTTGTAAGTCCTAAATCGCAGCAAAATTGAAAATATAGAGTTTTGCACCGTAGGACCTTTGTGCAGTAAGTCGTTGAGCGATTTTCCTGATGACGTAACTGCAGATGCATCGAAAACCACTCTTAATTTGGTTGTTGTACTTTCAGGTTTGAGCACACAGTGATGTGGTATGAAGTACCGTGCTTTTTTAATTTCACTTGTGTGCATCTCCTTCATATGCCCAAGAGCTTCGTATTCTTTCATAAACTCCACATAACTTGCCTTAGTTTGTGGATCTCGCAATAGCCGTTTTTCCAAGGAAAGGAATCGTCGTGTTGCAAGATCACGACTCTCCCCCAGGGCTGAAGCATTATCCATGAATGGGAGCCTAACAATTGATTTCTTATCAATTGCAGTCTGAATGTGCTGGAGAAAGTGTCTTTCACATTGTTTCTCCAGTGGAGATAGGCATGGCGCATCAGTTGAGAATGAATCCAGTTCCCAAAATTTCGTGATTTGTTCGTCTACCTTATCTTCCTCGGTTAGAGCTGCACAGGTAGTTGATCTAGGTGAATTGTGTTTTAATTTTCCAGCCACAATCCATCCTAGTTTGGTTTTTTGTAATTTTGGCAGTCCTTTACCCAACGATAAATGCTTGTCCTGCATTATATCGTAATAGTGTTCTGCTCCCAAGAGTAGATCAATCCTTCCTGTTTTATCAAAATTGGGATCAGCCAATTCAATATGTTTTGGAAGTTTCCAACGATTAATATCAATTGACTGTCCTGGCTGATCTGCAACAATGTGAGGCAATACAATAGCCTCCAATCGAGAGTTGAAGTTGTTATGCTGTGATTTGAGCATAACATTAACTCGTGCCTTTGATGTTTGTATTCGTCCACCAATTCCATTTATTTGTAGCTCTGATTTTTTAACGTCGAGAGCTAATATGTTTAATGCTCTTTCAGAGATTACATTGACTTGAGAACCTGAGTCAAGTAATGCTCTGAATTCGGCCATTCGTCCATTATTGCCTTCAATAATAACTCGAGCAGTGGCTAAAAGTACATAATTGGTTTGTACTCCACTTGCTGATGCTGCTGTTTTAGAGTCAGGCTTTGATTCCAAATGTAGAAGGGTGTTATGCCTTTTATCGCATTTAAAACAATTTTTCTTCTGACATTCCTTTGCTGAATGATCGCGTTTGAAGCATTTTACGCATAGCTTGTTCCTTTGAGTCCAATTTAATCGTTCAGCTGTTGTTTTCTTCAAAAACTCGTTGCACTTATACATAATGTGATTGGGTTTGTTACAGAAATAGCATGTATATTCTGTACCAATCTGAGCGCATGTGCCTTTTTGGTGTGATTTATCTTATCACTACCGGTAGCCTCCAATGTAAGGAACCGATGTTCCAAGAAGGTCAAAAACTGATCCAGTTTCTGCAGTTTCTTCAAGTCTACAATTGACTGTTCATATAACATATGAGTTTGACGATCTAATTTCCTTGTCAAACTACATAATAGTATTGGATCCCAATTTTCAGTTTGAATTCCAATGTTACAAAGCGCAGATAATGTTTCTTTAATATTATCATGCATTGCCTTTATGGATTTCGCATCATTTGTTATTGATGGTTGGTCCAATATTTTTTTATATTAACGCGTTACTTAGCACTCTTTTGTTGCTAAAACGCTCTTGTAGCATATTCCATGCTGTTGCATAGTTTCCTTCGGTTAAGGATAGATGGCGTATTAAACGCTCAGCCTCTCCAGTGATGCTAGTTTTTAAGTACCACATCTTTTGAATGATGGGTAATGATGCTTCATGAATCATTTTCTTGAAAATGTCATGAAATTGTTGCCATTTTAAATAGTCCCCATCAAATTTGGGAATTTCAACTTTCGGCAACGGCAATGAGGCATGCATTTGAGGTATGTTGGCAGGACGTGAGATGCTTTCTTCACATGTCATAGTTTGGACTGCTATGACGGCGTCTTCCGCTGCTAAATATCTCTGGTCGAGATATCCAAGTTTTGCAGGATCCTCAAATTTTTTATAAATTTCAATGTGGATAGTTGTTATCTTATCCCAATACTGATTTATGATTGGCATAAATCCTTGACGAGTTTCATTCGTCATTTTATTCATGATTCGTTCCAGACTAATCAGCAGAGCCCTTTGTTCCCGAATCATTGGCTCCAGTTCCGATTCTTCTTCACTGGAAGCAACCGATCCAGTATCCATTTGTACTGTGGATAATTGTTTGTTGAATTCTCCTTTGTAGGATACAACCAAATCTCTTATTTGATTGAAATAATTATTTTTAAAGTAACTGTGCTCAATTTTAGCACCTTCTGTTGTACTTTTTATAGTTAAATCATCTTTAAAAAATATTTCCCACAGCTTAACTAACTTCTCAATGCGTTTTTGGAAATAGTCAGGCTGTTGTTTTCGTTCAGGCGAATCCTTCTTGTAATTCCTTATTACGTTTTGGATCTCTTCGCCTGTTATCAATTGCCTGTCCAGCAATGCGTTGATATTTGATAATGCCATTTTTTTTTTTTTTTAATAATACCTGACCCGTTGGAGGTATTTTGATTTGTCGCTTTGACAGGTTGTGCCTCTACTCACAACCAAATAGGCGGTCAAGGTATTCTTTTAAATACTATGGCTATGGAGCTTGATTTTCTCCTGTTTTGTTGCTGCCAAGTTGACTATCCAGTGATGTCCAAGATCGCCAAGTTGATCAGTTGTTGGTATTTTTTTTTTTTTGTAGTTTGGTCGCCCAGTTGACCAACTATACGAGTATGATTCTCCAAATGAATCCTGTGTCCAAAGTCGGGGGTCACCAAATGTAAATTGTGTAGCTGAAAAGTTGCTTTTGTCTGCCACCGGTTCTTGATACCAGTAACAATTTCGTTGCCGCAATCTGTACTTGAAACAAATTGAGCTCGGAGAAGTGAATACCACGAGTTTTCGTTGAGTACTGATTTTATTGTGGAATATGCAGGGTTTTTATATACAAGATCTTAAGAACTAATGTTTGTTTAGGTCAAATTATTATCTGCTTATAGTTTACTAGTTTGGACAGTTTAGGTTTATGACGCATGCAGGTCCTTATCATGCGTGCTGACAGATGGTGTGAGGTCGTAAATGCGCAGCGGTACCTGTTTGTATAGGATCATCTGTTGCCTATCTGCAATGCATGATTTTCTGCATGTCTTGAACTCGTACAATAGAAATATGATAGAAATAAGTAATTCTTCTTGCCTACCAAATTTATTAAAAAGTCGCCACTGGTGTAATTCTACTCAACAAATTCTCTGGCAACGTAGAAATAAATGGGACATCCACAAGTCTCAACGGAACCTTCGTTATGATCTTCAGCAATTCTACAATTAATATTGATGGACAGATCTTAACCAACAAAGACACGGTGCACTATCACCCGATGCCAGCCATTCTCCAAACAGTGATGACCATTCGAAAGATAGAAGAGAAGCTATCACTGGAATTGATCAAAGAGCTAAACATCAACAATACGAAAACCTTGGAACTCTTGAAAACCACATCGCATACAGCCGATTTTTTAATAGGTTCCATAATAATCACGGGACTTGCAGCAATAGCAATTCGCTTCTTGATTAAAAGGGTCAAAGTAAAGCACATCAACAAAGTAGCTTCCGGTAATAGGATCAATGACGAGCAACGAGCGTGGACACTCGATTTTAAAGGTGGAGGAGTTAACACAAAACGAATTCGCAACCGAATTGGCTACGCGCATCCGGCATTGCAGCAGCAAACAAAAGTTCAAGGGCAATTTCCCGGTCAATAGCTCCCAACAGGTGCTGACTGCAGCGTCTGATCCACTTCCCGCTGCAGCGAAGACAACGGCAAAGCTCCGACGTTGGCAGAGGCAGCGACAAAGCTTTTGGGTATAAATATGCCAATTTTTGTAAACATAATTTAGTTCCAATAAATTTCCAATAAATACGGACCAAGTGTCCAACAAAATTATATTCTTTTAAAAATAATAAACGCAAGTGTTTAACTTATACAAATCGCTTACATCATATCTTGCGGTAATTTTCTTTCCGTGTTTAAATAAACACATATTATAATATTATTTACATGCAAGGTCACTACTTAACGTACTAAATCATTATTAATGACTTCATATACGTTGGGCTCTGAAGCTTTTTCTTTAGATTGCTTATGCAATTCTTTTTTCTTTTCCTGCGCAGGGTTTTGACTACTTTGGTTTCTAGTAGTGACTTTTAGAATATTTAATTGTATGTTTTTCAAGTCTGTGATTGTTATTTTAGAGAGCGCATCGGCTACATAATTATCTTTACCCTTTAGATACTGTACCGTAAAATTATATTCCTCTAATTCAAGTCTCATTCCTGTTAGTTTGGAACTGGGATTTACCACTGAAAATAAGTAGATAAGTGCTCTGTGGTCTGTTTTGACAGTGAAATGTCTACCATAAATATATGGTCGGAGCAACCTATGACTATTAAGTCATCCATATAAAGAAATGCTTGCGAAGGTTCTAATCCAGAGAATGCTATAGTCATCATTCTCTGAGTTATTATTTTTAATACTATAATTTTTATGAAAAAACTAAGCCGAATGGTAATCGGGCGCTATTTTTAAACCGAATGGTAAACGCGTGAAGCGATATGACAAACAAACCAACAAACAAACAAACCATTGTTTGTTGAAAAATGAAATTGGTGAAATTTGGTGAAATTTTTCGATTTGGACTCTGTATAAAGTTGATCCAATTATTTTGGATTTAATTTATTCTACAGCCAAAACTTTGAATGTATCTTCCGTTGGGTTAATTAACCTCAAAGCTGTTATGAATCTTTGAAGGTGTAACATTTGCCCGTTAAATTCTGGGATGGAATTTGATATTTCTCTAATGTATGCCCTTTGTGCCATTGTCTCATCAGCCATTGTGGTTGGTTTTACTTCTACAATGCTGTTGTCTAAATCGGAGTCGGTCAAGTCCTGGTCTGACAGAATCGTTGATTCTGTATTTATTGTGTTAGTATTTTGGGTATTTTTTATAAGCTAATATTATTATTATTATTATATGGCATTGACAACCCTTTTATCGGGTCTCGGCCTGAAGCGCAATGTGCCTCCACGCGACTCTGTCCTGAGCGCGCCTTCGCCAGTTGGTAACACCAAGTGTGGACAGGGTTTCCATCACCTGGTCTTGCCATCGCGTTCGGGGTCGTCCTCTCCTTCGTGTCCCAACAATCACCGCATCAAACACCTTACGAGCCGGAGCGTCTTCATCCATACGGCAACGTGGCCGTCTGGCTACGTCAACATCACCGTACAGCTCATACAGCTCGTGGTTGTATCTGATGCGATAAACATCGTCCACGCAGATTGGGCCAAAGATTTTACGAAGAATTTTCCTCTCGAACACTCCAAGAGCAGCTCCATCTGACTGCGTCACTGTCCAGCACTCCGCACCATATGGGAGTACTGAAAGAATGAGCGTCTTGTAGAGTGTGATTTTTGTGCGTCGAGAGAGAGCTCTACTATTGAACTGCCTACTGAGCCCAAAGTAACACCTGTTGGCAAGTGTTATTCTCCGCTTAATCTCCAGACTGACATCATTTGTGCTTGTTATAGTAGTGCCTAGGTAGATAAACTCCTTGACGAACAAAAGCTATAGTTTTCTGCAGTCAGCTGAGAATCAAGACGCCGCGATTCTCTGCTAGAGCACACCATAAACTTTGTTTTCTCCATATTCACTGCTAGTCCGACTTTTGCTGATTCCTTTTCAATAGCCCCGAAGGCTCTTGTGACATCACGCTTGGTGCGGCCAATGATATCAATATCATCAGCGTAACCAAAGAGCTGGACACATCTGTTGGTTAATATCGTGCCCGACTGATGTACACCAGCCTTTCTTATAATACTCTCCCTTAAAATATTGAAGAGTATGCAAGACAGCGAGTCACCTTGTCTGAGGCCACACTTGGTAATAAAGGTTTCGGATTGGCCACTTCCTACCTTGACAGAGCTGATGGTGTTGCTCAATGTCATTCTGCAAAGTCTAGTCAGCTTTGCTGGTATACCAAGCTCAGACTATCAAATGCTGGTATACCGGGGGCTATCAAATGCGGCTTTGTAGTCGACGAAGAGATGGTACGTTTCGATCAGGTTTTCGTAAGATTTCTCCAGGATTTGGACCAAGGTGAATTTCTGGTCAACAGTGGACTTGCCAGGCCTGAAACCGCACTGATAAGGTCCAATCAGTGCTTCAGCATGGGGTTTCAGTCTTTCACACAATAGGCTTTTTAGGACTTTGTATGCAACTGGAAGAAGACTAATTCCGCGGTAGTTGGTGCGCACCGTAGCATCACCCTTCTTCAGGATGAGACAGATCATGCTGTGGTTCCAATCTTCGGGCATGCTCTCCATGAGCCATATCTTACTGATTAGTTGGTGCATGCACCCTACCAGCATATCACCAGCCGCCTTAAACAATTCTGCCGGCAGGCCGTCAGCACCTGCAGACTTGTTGTTTTTAAGCCGTTGGATTGCATCCTTGACTTCGATATGACTTGGGATTGGCACTTCAATATCAGTGCCATAGATTGGGGTTCGTGGATCATAGTAGGGATGTCAGAAATATATCAAAATATCGATATATCGATATGTTTTCTCTTAAAAAAATATTATTATCGTGATATTTTTTGGGCAAAAATAGTCGATAATAATATTTTTGAGTTGGTGTTCTCCGATATTTGTTGCGAAAGAAAGGAAATGCAGGTTTACTTGAGTATGCCATTTTGTAGTTGGGAGACAAATCCGTTGGAATTCTGGAACTCACAAATTTCAACGATGCCGATGCTAGCGAAGGTTGCTTTAAGTTTTCTTATCACGCCTGGAAGTTCGGTTCCATCTGAACGGTTGGCTTCTGCCATTAAATGTATTGTCTGTGACTCCCGTAGTCGAATGACAGACCAGCATATAACCGAAAGAGTTTTTTTAAATCATTGAAGAAAGATTTATTTTGTAATTAAGAGTAATTAAGAGCATTAAATAAGAGAATTAAGTAATTAGAATTATTAAGTACATATTCCATGAATTCCATGAAACTTTTTTTTTGTATTAAGTTTTTTTATAAATAAATTTGAATACAATGTCCTTAATAATTTTGTTATTTTTTATTTCAAAGAACTTAAATAAAAGTTGCTTGAGAGTGGGTATAAATATTTGTTGTTTTTTCAATTCACTTTTTAAATAAAAAAATATGTCTTATTTGCAGTTCATGGCGGATGAAAACACATATTAAAACCTTTTTTTAAATTTAAAAATAACCTTTTTTCAAATTTAGCTGACTATAAAAAATATCGAAAATACTCGATATATCGATTTTTTTGGGTGATATTTCTGAATATTATCGATTGATATTTTTTTCACAGCAAATATCATCAATACGATATTTTTTCAAAAACCAACAACCCTAGATCATAGTCTTCAGAGTCTGCGCTTGAGCCAGATAACAAACTCGAGAAGTGATCCCTCCATAACCTCAGTACGACCTCTGTTTCTGTGACAAGATTTCCATCATTGTCCCTGCACGCCACTGTACCAGTCTTAAATCCTTGGGTCAGATGCTTGACCCTCTGGTAGAAGTTACGTGCTTCATTTCTGCATCTGCTGCTCTCTGTGCTCTCACACTCTCGCCTTTCCTGCTCTTTCTTCTTGCGTCTGAAAAGGCGTTTTTTGTCTCTTCTTTTCGACCTGTAGACATCCCCAATCGCTCGTGTCGCCCCAGCCTGCAGTGTTCTTCCGTAGGCGGCATCCTTTGCAGCTGTTGCGTCATGACACTCCTGATCGTACCATGGATTCCTTGATAGAGGACGCTGGAATTCAAGCACTTCTTCTGCCGAAGCTCGCAGGGAGTGAGATATGAGCGCCCACATATCGCTTATGTTTTCAGGTATTGAAGGTGCTCGGCTTAATAGCCCCGAGACGTGAGTGGAGAATGCATTCTTCGCCTGTTGTGATTGCAGCTTTCCGATGTCCAGCCTTCTTAACGCACTTCGACGTGCAATCTTCGCCACCGTGTGCGAATCTTAGCTGCAACAAGATAATGGGACGGAGTCGATGTTGGGACCCCGACAGGATCGCACGTCGAGTATATTAGATGCGTGCCTTGCATCGATCACAACATGATCGATCTGATTTCTGGTCAGTCGATCGGGAGAGAGCCAAGTTGCTTTATGGATGTCCAAATGACGGAATCCAGTACTACGAACGACCACATTATGCGCAGCTGCAAAGCCTATTAATCTGAGACCATTGCTCGAGGTGGTCTCATGTAGACTAAATCCAAGATGTGGTAGCAACATAGATGTCTTCTCGTCCTACCTTGGCATTAAAATCCCCGAGGAGAATTTTAATGTCATGGGAAGGACAGCGGCCATAAGCTCGGTCGAGCTCCGCATAGAAAGCGTCCTTGGTGGCATCATCCTTTTCCTCCGTTGGGGCATGTGCGCATATCAGGCTGATGTTAAAGAATTTGGCAGTAATTCGGATCGTTGCAGTTCTCTCGTTTGTTGGCCGAAAGTGAGAGACTCGGCGTCGCAGCCTGGCACCTACAACGAAACCACAACCAAATTCATGCCGTTCTGGATGGAAGCTGTAGTAAATGTCACAGTTCCTCTTCTTTATGCAGCCTTGTCCTATCCATCGCATTTCCTGGATAGCAGTGATGTCATCCCTACATTTGTTGAGGGTATCTGCTAGTTGTTGAGCAGCACCAGGTCGGTACAATGTTCCTACGTTCCAGGTGCATACTCTCAAATCATTGTCCTTTTTACGCTTGCTATGGTCGTCAACGTTAGATCGGTTCCTTTCCGAGGCTTCTCTTGCTTCCTTCACTGAAATTGTGTTTTACATGAGTGGATTTCAAGTCCTACGCCACAACCTAGTTTATAGAGTTAGGACTCTCGTCGCGCGCTTTAGTTTGCCACACAACGGCTGTCGAGCGACAATCCAGGGAGAACCACGTGGAGGTAGTGCGTCGGCTTGAAGAAAGCAGTGACAGGAATCATGCTGACATTTCACAAGTTGAATGCAATCAGACACTTTGACCTGTATGCTTTCCCCCATTCTCCCCAAGCTAATATGTAGTTTTTTTATATTAATCATGTGGTTTAATTTGTTATTTATCTGCCATTTAGTTTGGCTCATTTAGTTCAAAATTCTTAGGAATTTGAGTTAAAAAGTTCCTTATTTGGCAACTTATTAAATTATTATTAAATTACATTTTTGTTTCTTTTTTATACCCTTGTAGAGGCTATTATAATTTTGTCCAAAAGTGTGCAACGCAGTGAAGGAAACATCTCCGACCCTATAAGGTATATATATTCCTTGATCAGGATCACCTCAGGATCATATGAGCATGTCCGTCTGATAACTGATTGATCGGAAGTGGTAAAACTTTGATGTTTCTAAAGTTAGAGAGTTCCAATTTTACAAGAGAGCTATTTTTCAGAATAATACTACATGCCAAATTTCATAAGGATCGGCCGAACATATTTTATGGCTGCCATATAACTGAACGATCGGAAATGGCCCAAGTTTCGTGTTTTTGAAGATAGAAAGCTGGAACTATTCTATTTTTGGTCAGTTGATCCAACCTACCAAATTTCATACCGATCGGTCGACTATATCTGATAACTGCCATATAACTCAACGATCGGAAATGGTATTTGGTATTTGGTAAAAATACCAACATAGGTATTTTTGAAGATAGAAGCATGGGACTTTTTTTTAGATTTTGTATTGTGATAAATTTGTTTTATTATGATATTTTCAAAAGGATCGGCTAACTGTATTCGAGCTTTGCGGTATATATATGCGGTTTTAACTTCAAGGGTATTTAAACTTCGGTTCGGCCCGAAGTTAGCTTTTCTTTCTTGTTTTTCTATTTTTTTTTTACATAAAAACCTGCCTAGTTTTTTTTATGGTTTTCAGGCCACACGCTAATTGGGCAGCATTAATGTTGCTCAATTGTACATTCATTTTTTATACTACATAAAAAAAATATGCATCGTAGTGCAATATAAAAAAAAATTATGCAACGCAGTGCATGGATAAAACAAAAAAAAACAAGAAAGGAAAGCTAACTTCGGGCGGAGCCGAAGTTGATATACCCTTGCAGTTAAAACCGGATATATATCGCAAACATCGGATTTAGTTGGCCGATCCTTATGAAATTTGGTAGGTTGGATGAACTGATCAAAAATAGAATCTGTACCAAGTTCCAGCTTTCTATCTTCAAAAACACAAAATTTGGGTCAATTCCGATCTTTCAGTTATATGACAGCTATAGGATATAGTCGGCCGATCCTTATGAAATTTGGCACGTCGTATTGTTTTGCCAAAAATAGCACTCATGTCAAATTTGAACTCTCTAAATCTAAAAACACGAAAGTTATACCATTTCCGATCAATCAGTTATATGGCAGCTATAGGATATAGTCGGCCGATCCGGGTCGTTCCGACTTATATACTGTGTGCAAAGAAAAGAAGGGTGTATGCAAAGTTTCAAGACGATAGCTTTAAAACTGAGAGACTAGTTCGCGTAGAAACAGACAGACAGACGGACAGACAGACGGACAGACGGACAGACGGACATGCTCATATCAACTCAGGAGGTGATCCTGATCAAGAATATATATACTTAATAGGGTCGGAGATGTCTCCTTCACTGCGTTGCACACTTTTGGACAAAATTATAATACCCTCTACAAGGGTATAAAAAAGAAACAAAAATGTAATTTAATAATAATTTAATAAGTTGCCAAATAAGGAACTTTTTAACTCAAATTCCTAAGAATTTTGAACTAAATGAGCCAAACTAAATGGCAGATAAATAACAAATTAAACCACATGATTAATATAAAAAACTACATATTAGCTTGGGGAGAATGGGGGAAAGCATACAGGTCAAAGTGTCTGATTGCATTCAACTTGTGAAATGTCAGCATGATTCCTGTCACTGCTTTCTTCAAGCCGACGCACTA